ACTGCCCCCCATGCACACATACTGCCCTCATGCACACATACTGCCCTCATACACACATACTGCCCCCCATACACACACACTGCCCCATACACTGCCGCCCCATACACACACATTGCCCACATTCACACACACACTGCAACTGTTACACACACATACTGTCCCACACATACACTGCATCCCTGACATACACTGCCCCCCTACTCACACACTACAACCTTCACACACACACTGCTCACACACACACTGCACCCCTTACACATTGCACCACTCACACACACCACTGCTCCTATGCCCTACTACCGCCCCATTTCCCAGCAGACCTCGGGTAAGTTGTCAAACTGTTCTTAAACGGTTTGACTACTTACTCTAGGAGGGGGTCCCGGCACTATTGACACCATAACCACTACACTGAGCTGTAGTAGTTATTGTGTCTGGATTATTTCTTTAAATAATCTACAAGTGCCCCTCCCGAGATCAGTCTCTGGATCTGCCACTGGTGTTAGGGGGAGTGGCTATAGTGAGCACATTGAAGATAGGGTCTCTAGGAGGTGCAGGGGAGATAGGGGGTAAGTGGGGCTATAATAGGAGGTAATAAATACTTCTCTAGGACTTTGCCGTTTCAATAGAACTCACTTTCCTACTCCGTTAGACTCTAATCCAATCTCAGTTCTTTCAAAAGATCATTAAAAACTCACTTCTTTAGGAAAGCATATCAATTAAACTATTAATATCTTTCCCTCTCTGCACCTTGGTAACCCACCCTGCTTCCGCTCCTGCAACTGTATCATCAGGGGTCAAGTCCTGGGGGGGAAAAGTGTGGGAATTCGCCCAAGATCCACCCCCAACCAAAAGCATCTTCACCTGTGTACCTGTGTACCTCTTAACCTGCCTTTTATTTCTTATCCCTTTTTAAAATGTCTTACCCCCTTTAGTGTATCTTATCCCCTATTTTTCCCCATTGTGGGTCTTACACCTCCCTTGTGTATCTCTTACAATCCCCCTTTGTGTGTCTTACTCCCCCTAGCCCCTTTGTGTGTCTCCTTCTCCCCAAGCCCCTATGTGTCTTTTACTCTTACTAGCTCCTTTGTGTGTTTATCTTTTACCACCAGCCCGTCTATCTCCCCCTTTAGCCCCTCTGTGTCTCTTTTTTCTCTTCTCCAGCCCCTCTGTGTCTCTTTCACACCCAGCCCCTTTGTATTTCCACCCCTAGGCCCTTCTGTGTGTCGCTTTCATCTCCAGCCCCTCTGTGAACTTTCTCACCCCCAGGCCCATCTGTGTATCTTTCTCCCTCCTCATGTCCCTCTGTGTATCTTTCTCCCCACTCAGGCCACCCTATGTACCACTCTCCCCCTAGTGTTCCTCTCTCCTCCCCTCTATGTCCATTAGTGTTCTTCTCCCTCACATGTTCCATAGTGTTCTTTCCCCCAGCACTTGTCCCATAGTGTTCCTTTCCCCCTCCCCTGTCCCACATTATTCTTCCCCCCCCCTCCCCTTACCCATAGTGTTATTCCTCTCCTCACCTGGCTCATAGTGTTCTTCTACCCCCTCCCGTCCCATAGGTTCTCCTTACCACCTCTCTCCCCTGTCCCATAGTGTTCTTCCCCCTCCCCATAGTGTTCTTTCACCACCCCCATCTCATTTGTGTTCATACCACCCCAGATCCCATGGTGTTCCTGTCCACCCATGTCCCATAGTGTTTGCTTACCACTCCCTCCCCTGTCCCATAGTGTTCTCCCCCCACCTCCCCTGTCCCATGGTGTTCTTCCAGCCCCTCCTGTCCCATAGTGTTCTTCCACCCCCTTCCGTCCCATAGGGTTCTCATTACCACCCCTCTCCCCCTGTCCCATAGTGTTCTTCCTTATCACCCCTGTCCCATAGTGTTCGCCCCCCCTCCTTAGTGTTCTCCTTATGCCTCTCCCCTCCTCCCTGTCCCATGGTGTTCTTCCACCCCTCCTGTCCCGTAGTGTTCTTCCACCCCCTTCCATCCCATAGGGTTCTCCTTACCACCCCTGTCCCATGGGGTTCTTCCCCCCCCCCCTTGTCTTCCTTAGTGCCCCTCTCTCCCCCACCCCGGTCCCTACCGCTATATATAGCATGGTCACTCTGATCTAGCACTCCCCCCAGGCTGGTGTGCCCTAAGGTGGCCGCTTGTGCCACCTTATGGATGCCCGGGCCCTGCCTGGACCACTAATGCGTTCCTGCTGTGGAAAAAGTGCAGGAACGCCATTCCCACACATTCCTGCAGGACTCGAGCCCTGTGTATCTTCCCAAAAAACTAACCCTTCATCGTAAACTATTCTAGTTAACCTACCTTTCCTGTACATGCAATACATCCTGCCCTTACCTCCTATGCCACTTTTCCCCACTCCCTGTTACATAGACTATTACTGATAACTCCATTTTAAGGTTTATTCATAGCAAAACACAAAGAAGCACATGCTAAATAAACATCACCAACTAAGCCAAGCTTAATTTTTTGTTCAACAATGTGGCAGTTGTGACCTATATCTTACAATGCATTTTTCAACTTTCCACACCGTAATGGAAGAGTTGGTAAGTTGTGGCACAGCATGCGGGCTGACTTTGTGTGTCATGCAGTCAGGGCCGGTGCAAGGATTTTTGACTATACAGGTATAGATTGCATTTTGCGTCTCCCCCCCACCCCCAAAAAAACGTATCTGCACCTGTGTGTCTTGTAACCACCTTTTGAATTTATTACCCTCTTTAGTGTTTAATATCCGATTTTTTTTAATGTATCCCTTTACCCCTTTGTGTGTCTTACTCCCCTCTTCTGTATTTTATCCCTCTTGTGTTTCTTACAACCCCTCTTGTGTATCTTTTACTTCCCCTAGCACCTTTGTCTGTCTCTTTCTTTCCCCCAGCTCTTTTGTGTGTCTTTTGTCCCCCTGCCCCTTTCTGTGTCTCTTCCCCCATCTCCTTTGTGTGACTCTTTCTCGCCAACACATTTGTGCGTCTATTTAACTCTGCACCTTTGTGCATCTCTTTCTCCCCCTCAGCCCCATTGTGCTTCTTATTCCCCACAGCCCCTTCGTGCATCTCTTCCTCCCCCACCAGCCACTCTGTGTGTCTTTGTCCCCCTCAGTACCTCTGTGTGTATCTTTGTGCCCCCGCCCCTCTGTATGTCTTTGTGTCCCCTAGCCCACCTGCCTTTCAATAATGTTTTCATTGTTTCCACTCCTGTACTTTTTATTTTCTTTTCCTTCTCTCCTCAACCTTTCATAGTCCCCCCTCTCCTCCTGTTCCTTTTAATGTCCCCCTTGTGTCTTTTAATGTCCCCCTCCCCTCCTGTACCTTTTATTGTCCCACCTCCCCTCCTGTACCTTTTATTGTCCTCCCCTCCCCTCCTGTTTATTTCATAGTCCCCCCCTCCCCTCCTGTGCCTATTATTATTGTCCCTCTCCACTCCTGTACCTATTATTGTTCACCCATACCTTCCGGTACTTATCGTTGTTCCCCCTTCTCCCCTCCTGTATCTCCCCTTGTCCTCCCCTCCTGTACCTTTCCTTGTTTTTCCCTCCTCTTCTGTATCTTTCATAGTCCCCTCTCCCATCCTGTACCTTTCCTTGTTTTTCCCTCCTCTTCTGTATCTTTCATAGTCCCCCCTCCCCTCCTGTACCTTTCCTTGTCCTTCCCTTCTCTCCTGTATCTTTCATAGTCCCCTCTCCCCTCCTGTACCTTTCATTGTCCTTTCCTTCTCTCCCGTATCTTTCATGGTCCCCCCTCTCCTCCTGTACCTTTCCTTGTCCTCCCCTCCTGTATCTTTCATAGTTCCACCTTTCCGTGTACTCCCCTCCTGTATCTTTCATAGTTCCACCTTTCCGTGTACTCCCCTCCTATATCTTTCATAGTTCCACCTTTCCGTGTACTCCCCTCCTGTATCTTTCATAGTCCCACCTCCCCTCCTGTACCTTTCCTTGTCCTCCCCTTCCTGTATCTTTCATAGTCCCACCTCCCCTCCTGTACCTTTTCTTGTCCTTCCCTCCCCTCCTGTATCTTTCATAGTCCCACCTCCCCTCCTGTAGCTACTATTGTTCCCTCTCCCCTTCTGTGCCTTTTATTGCCCCCTCTCTCCTCCTGTACCTTTTTATTGTCCCCCCTCCCATACTTTTTATTGGCGTTCCTTGCACCTCTTATTGGTCCCCCCCCTCCCCACCCCTTTATCCATGTGGCTGAGTGGGCGGTTCGTGACGAAGGATCTGGTTTCCTGTCCCGGTCTGACAGGAAGCAGTTTGTCGCATTTCCTGTCGGACCGGGAAGTTCACGGACTGCCCACTCGGCCACGCTAATGCAGTGACCGACAGGAGGAGAGTACTACGAAGGGTGCTCTCATCCTGACGGTCACCTGAAAATCGTGCACCCAGGAGGCTGCCTTATGGTAGTGCCAACCCTGCACGCAGTGCTGCCAGAACCAGACTGAAGCACACATATATTAGTGCAAGGGAGCTTGTGATCTCCACAAGCTACTTTTTACTTCTAAACTGTTTCTCATGTTGTCTTTCATTCACACCTTTTTTAAACTTGCTATAGTTAGGATATAATACATGTATGTGTAAAGCTTTAAATAACTTATGTGACTTCCTGCTCAGCAACTAATTACAATAACTACATAGGAATTGGTAAATTGATATATATGTTGAATGTTTATATATATATATATATATATATATATATATATATATATATATATATATATATATATATATATATATATATATATATATATATATATATATATGTATATATATATATATATATATATATATATATATATATATATATATATAAAATCAGTTACTGTATTCCAAGTTATATTCTATCAATGGAGATTTGTTGCAGAGTTGTACATTAATGAGCTTATTTACTAGACAACAGGGAATTGAAATTGGAATATTTAGGAGAGAATATATGGGTTTGATCAATTCTCCAATTTGGCTAAATTTCGCAATTCAAGTTGCAGCCTACCACAATTCTTTGTTTAGTCAATAAACTCCTAATATTGCCTCTGTGGGATACATTGCTAAGGCAAAAGAGGAAGTTTTCTTGGTCTCAATCTCAAACACATTCAGGCCCCCTGGCAACTCGTTAGTCTGCTAACAACCCTCCATACAGGGCTACTATACTGGTTCATGGATTGCAGGATAAAACTTACCAGGAAAGGTTAAAGGATCTCAACATGTATAGCTTGGAGGAAAGACTAGACAGGGGGGATATGAGGGAAACATTTAAATACATAAAGGGAATCAACACAGTAAAGGAGGAGACTATATTTAAAATAAGAAAAACTACCACAACAAGAGGACATAGTCTTAAATTAGAGGGACAAAGGTTTAAAAATAATATCAGGAAGTATTACTTTACTGAGAGGGTAGTGGATGCATGGAATAGCCTTCCAGCTGAAGTGGTAGAGGTTAACACAGTAAAGGAGTTTAAGCATGCGTGGGATAGGTATGAGGCTATCCTAACTATAAGATAAGGCCAGGGACTAATGAAAGTATTTAGAAAATTGGACAGACTAGATGGGCCGAATGGTTCTTATCTGCCGTCACATGTTTCTATGTTTCTATAGTATGGGCAAGTTAAAAAAAGGGAAGTATTATTACTTAGATTACATAATAGATTGCGTGGTCCTTAAGACATACTTAAGGAACTAAAATGGAGCCGGGGACGTCTAAAATAGATCACATTCATCCTAAATATGTTGAATCATGGGTATTCAACCATTATTCTGTGTTGGCCCCAGATATGGAGATCCAACATTTTACTAACCTATAATACCGATAGTTATGCAGCAGCGGAATACGCAAGCTCACAGGTGTATTGTACACTGCCTTTTATGTATCATATTAATATCAAAATTCAAAATAAAATTATTGTGCAAAGACTGTAGTTTGCCTTATTAAAGTGCAAACAAACTTAAATAGCACTATTAAAGTGCAAACAGTGAACACTCAAGTACATGCAGGATTGTTGTTTTTTTGGCATTACTCTATTGCAACTTACATGATACCATCTTTATCTTATCTCTCAATGTAGTATCAAAATGAGGAGAACCTACAAGAGGGAAAAAAAAGAATATATTGATATGTACAATATTCGTGCTATGGTAATAAAAGTTTCCACTCACAAATATAGAGCAGATGAGTCTGCTCTAACTGTAACAGCTCCAAAATAAAGTGCAGGTGTCAGGTTATGTAGATGCAAAAATAGTCTTTATTGACAACTTTTAAAATCAGCTGGCAAGTCAGGACCCTCTTTTGTATTCCTCCAGTAAGGCTCTCCCCCTCAAGTTCAGAAGCCCGCCTCCCGGAAAGAACTGTTCGCAATTGGAACCCCAGACTTAGTGTTGTGGGCAAAACCGAGAACCTTACCGGAGGAATTCTAAAGAGGGTCTTGACTTGACACCTGATTTTAAAAGTTATCAATAAAGACTCATCTGCTCTCTATTTGTGAGTGGAAACTTTTGTTACCATAGCACTAATCTTGTACATATCGTAGGTTCTCCTCATTTTGATACTACATTGAGAGATAAGATAAAGATGGTGTCATGTAAGTTGCAATAGAATAATGCCAAAAAAGGACAATCTTGCATGTACTTGAATGTTCACTGCACTTTTTGCACAGGCACTTTAAAATGTGTATCATAGATATTAATAATAGCTCTATTGGTATATATAAAAAATAAAGTTAGTGCTCACGGTTTAACAGTTAAATTGAGTCAATTTGCAAATAGCCAACTGGCACAGAACAAGCAGATATAGTGTGCTTTAATATCAGATATTACTGTAGGTGAAAGTTTAGGATCCAGTGATCATCAGTCAGTATGGTTTAATATAAGAACAGTGACTGAGTCACACCACACAAAAACAAAAGTTTTAGACTTTAGAAAAACAGACTTTTCTAAAATTAGAATATGTGTAAAGGAGTCCTTGTCAGACTGTAGCAGTTTAAATGGAGTCCAGGAGAAATGGGATTATTTAAAAGTTGCACTGCTGAATGCAACAGAAAATTGCATTAGGCTTGTCAGTAAAAGCAAAAAAAAATTAAGAAACCACTGTGGTACTCCGCAGATGTGGCCAAAATGGTAAAAAACAGAAAGTTAGCATTTAGTAATAAGAAAAAAAAAAACAGAGTGGGGAAGATAGACAGATCTATAAGATTAGGCAGAAAGAGGCTAAGCAAGTTATAAGAGCCTCCAAAGCACACACAGACGAGAAAATAGCACAGTCAGTAAAAAAGGGGGATAAAATATTTTTAGATACATAAATGAGAAAAGGAAAGTAAAATAAGGATTCGTTAGATTAAAAACAAAAGAAGGAATGTACAGTTGCAAGAAAAAGTATGTGAACCCTTTGGAATGAAATGGATTTCTGCACAAATTGGTCATAAAATGTGATCTGATCATCATCTAAGTCACAACAATAGACAACCACAGTCTGCTTAAACTAATAACACACAAAGAATGAAATGTTGCCATGTTTTTATTGAACACACCATGTAAACATTCACAGTGCAGGTGGAAAAGTATGTGAACCCTTGGATTTAATAACTGGTTGAACCTCCTTTGGCAGCAATAACTTCAACCAAACGTTTCCTGTAGTTGCAGATCAGACGTGCACAACGGTCACGAGTAATTCTTGACCATTCCTCTTTACAGAACTGTTTCAGTTCCGCAATATTCTTTGGATGTCTGGTGTGAATCGCTTTCTTGAGGTCATGCCATAGCATCTCAATCGGGTTGAGGTCAGGACTCTGACTGGGCCACTTCAGAAGGTGTATTTTCTTCTGTTTAAGCCATTCTGTTGTTGATTTACTTCTATGCTTTGGGTCATTGTCCTGTTGCAACACCCATCTTCTGTTGAGCTTCAGCTGGTAGACAGATGGCCATTTTTCCTTTGATGATAGCAATCCATCCAAGCCCTGACGCAGCAAAGCAGCCCCAAACCATGATGCCCCCACCACCATACTTCACAGTTGGGATGAGGTTTTGATGTTGGTGTGCTGTGCCTTTTTTTTCGCCACACATAGTGTTGTGTGTTTCTTCCGAACAACTCAACTTTGGTTTCATCTGTCCACAGAATATTTTGCCAGTACTGCTGTGGAACATCCAGGTGCTCTTGTGCAAACTGTAAACAGCAATGTTTTGTTTGGACAGCAGTGGCTTCCTCTGTGGTATCCTCCCATGAAATCCATTCTTGTTTAGTGTTTTACGTATTATAGATTCGCTAACAGGGATGTTAGCATTTGCCAGTGACTTTTATAAGTCTTTAGCTGACACTATAGGATTCTTCTTCACCTCATTGAGCAGTCTGCGCTGTGCTCTTGCAGTCATCTTTACAGGACGGCCACTCCTAGGGAGAGTAGCAGCAGTGCTGAACTTTCTCCATTTATAGACAATTTGTCTTACCATGGACTGATGAACAGCAAGGCTTTTGGAGATACTTTTATAACCCTTTTAAGTCAACAATTCTTAATCGTAGGTCTTCTGAGAGCTCTTTTGTGCGAGGCATCATTCACATCAGGCAATGCTTCTTGTGAAAATCAAACCCAGAACTGGTATGTGTTTTTTATAGGGCAGGGCAGCTGTAACCAACACCTCCAATCTCATCTCATTGATTGGACTCCAGTTGGCTGACATCTCACTCCAATTAGTTCTTGGAGATGTCATTAGTCTAGGGGTTCACATACTTTTTCCTCCTGCACTGTGAATGTTTACATGGTGTGTTCAATAAAAACATGGCAACATTTCATTCTTTGTGTGTTATTAGTTTAAGCAGACTGTGATTGTCTATTGCTGTGACTTAGATGATGATCAGATCACATTTTATGACCAATTTGTGCAGAAATCCATATCATTCCAAAGGGTTCACATACCTTTTCTTGCAACTGTATGTATGTAGAAGAGGATAAAGGTCTAGCTGATTACCTCAATTAATATTTTTGTAAATGAAGGAAAGGGGCCTCGGTTAGGAAATAGGACAAATTAGTCATTTGTTACATGTTAGTTTACAGAGGAAGAGGTTCTATTTCAACAGTCAAAAGTAAAGACAAATAAGTAGATGGAGCCTGATGCGACACACCCAAAGTTATTAAAAGAACTTAGTGGTGTACTAACAAAACCATTAACTGATTTATTTAACCAATAATTGTTAACAGGAGCAGTCCCAGAAGATTGGAAATTAGCAAATGTTGTGCCCATTCACAAGAAAGGTAGTAGGGAGGAGTCAGGCAACTATAGGCCAGTAAGCCTTACTTCAGTAGTTGGGAAAGTGATGGAAACCTTGTTAAAGGATAGGATTGTTGGACATCTAAAATCACATGGATTTCAAGATCAGAGACAACATAAGTTTACTTCAGGTAGATCATGCCAAACTAAGCTAATTGATTTTTTTTGATTGGGCAACTAAAATAATAGATCAGGGTGGTGTAGTAGACATTGCTTACCTAGATTTCAGTAAGACTTTTGACACTGTTTCACATAGAAGGCTCATCAATAAACTGCAATCTTTAAGTTGGATTCCAATATTGTTGAATGGGTTAGGCAGTGGCTAAATGACAGGCAACATGTAGTCAACGAAGTATATTCGAAGCAAGGTCTAGTTACCAGTGGGGTACCTCAGGGATCTGTACTTGGACCCATTCTCTATAATATTTTTATTAGTGATATTGCAGAAGGTCTTGATGGTAAGGTACCGTATATACTCGAGAATAAGCCGAGTTTTTCAGCACATTTTTTGTGCTGAAAAAGCCCCCCTCGGCTTATACTCGAGTCACTGTCTGTATTATGGCAACTTACATTGCCATAATACAGACCAGGACCGCTGGGCTCATTATAAGCCCGGCGGTCCTGTTAGGGGCCGGAGCAAGCTGTTACTTACCTTTGTAGCAGCTCCGGTCAGCTCCGTTCAGCTCCCTGTTCAGCTCACAGTGTAAGTCTCGCGAGACCCGCGACCGTCAGAGCCTTGCCACGCTCTGCGCGGCATGCAGACCGCAAGACTTACACTGTGGCTGAGCTGAACGAGCTGACGGAGCTTACAAAGGTAGTAACAGCTTGCCCTGACCCCTGCACAGCCCATGCCACTGGACCACCAGGGAATGAGATAGCCCCCCTCCCTGGCCAGGTAACAAGCGGGAAGGGGGGACAAAAAAATAAAATGAAACAAATAAATAATAAAAATAATAAAATAATATTAAAATAATAATAATAATAAAATATTAAAAAAATATATATTAAAATAATAAAAATGCCCTCCCCAGTTTACACACACACACACACACACACACACACACTCTGCATTATATACACACACACACACTCTGCATTATATACACACAGATTGTGTGTGTATATAATGCAGAGTGTGTGTGTGTTTGAATAAGTGTGTGTATATAATGCAGAGTGTGTGTGTGTGTGTGTGTGTATATAATGCATACACACACAAACTCATACAAACACACACTCTGCATTATATACACCCTGCATTATATACACACACACACTGCATTATATACACACACTCTGCATTATACACAAACACTGCATTCATTATATACACACTGCATTCATTATATACACACACACACTGCATTCACGCAAACACACACATTCTGCATTCATTATATACACACACTACACACAAACACACACACACACACACACGCTGCATTCATTATATACACACACAGTAAATAAATATTCAATTAATGTAATTTTATTGGGATCTAATTTTATTTAGAAATTTACCAGTAGCTGCTGCTTTTCCCACCCTAGGCTTATACTCGAGTCAATAAGTTTTCCCAGTTTTTTTGTGCTTCGGCTTATATTCGGGTCGACTTATACTCGAGTATATACGGTGTGTCTTTTTGCTGATGATACTAAAATTTGCAACAGGGTTGATGTTCCAGGAGGGATAAGCCAAATGGCAAATGATTTAGAAAAATTTGAAAAATGGTCAGAGCTGTGGCAACTGACATTTAATGTGGATAAGTGCAAGATCGTGCACCTTGGACGTAAAAACCCAAGGACAGAGTACAGAATATTTGATAGTCCTAACCTCAACATCTGAGGAAAGGGATTTAGGGGTGATTATTTCAGATGACTTAAAGGAAGGATGACAATGTAATAGAGCAGCAGGAAATGCTAGGAGAATGCTTGGTTGTATAGGGAGAGGTATTAGCAGTAGTAAGATGGAAGTGCTCATGCCATTGTACAGAACACTGGTGAGACATCACTTGGAGTATTGTACACAGTACTGGAGACCGTATCTCCAGAAGGATATTGATACTTTGGAAAGAGTTCAGAGAAGGGCTACTAAACTGGTTCATGGATTGCAGGATATTACTTACCAAGAAAGGATAAAGGAACTTAACATGTATAGCTTGGAGGAAAGACGAGATAGGGGGGATATGATAGAAACATTTAAATACATAAAGGGAATCAACACAGTAAAGGAGGAGACTATGTTTAAAAGAAGAAAAACTACCACAACAAGAGGACATAGTCTTAAATTAGAGGGGCGAAGGTTTAAAAATAATATCAGGAAGTATTACTTTACTGAGAGGGTAGTGGATCCATGGAATAGCATTCCAGCTGAAGTGGTAGAGGTTAACACAGTGAAGGAGTTTAAGCATGTGTGGGATAAGCTAAGGCCAGGGACTAATGAAAGTATTTAGAAAATTGGGCAGACTAGATGGGCCGAATGGTTCTTATCTGCCGTCACATTCTATGTTTCTAGGTTTCTCTAGTTACATATAAGGGTCTGTGAGTCCTAAAAACCAGGTCTCAGCCATAAAAACCAGGTTAAGAAGAAGCATATTATGTAAATAAGAGAGCGTATGTGTCCGTATAATAAAGTCAATTTTTTTTTTGGTTTAAAGCAAAGTTAGAATTACTCCAATTTCAAACCATTTGCTTTCTACCATTTTGTAATGAATAAGTAATGGTCTCTGCAGTCAAAGCATTTAAAAAAAAAAAAAATCAGAATATATTTTTCCTGGCATCTCTGTTTAATTTACTGATCTTTCATATAACCATTCATACAAAAAGATATGGAAGGGCTGCGCCAAATAAGGGTAGATAGTCCAGTAAAGTATTGCTAGGGTGCCAATAGATGGTCTAGGATACTTGATAGAGTTCCTCTGTGGATGCGTCTGGTGTAGACCGTTCCGTATATGTAAATACAAGAGAGGTAGAGGCGACTAATGGTATAGTATGAAAGTTCAGGGTGTGATAGGTAACAAAAAGTAAAGAACTCACATTCAGGAGAGCTATGGCCAGCTCTGGTGTGGATTGCGTACAGCGGTATAATCCCCGCTTATGGGATATGTAGGGAGGGGTCTCCGTCAGCACCGTCTGGTAGTCCAGAGCTCGAAAAAGAAAGACAGAAAGCAACAATAGTGCTCTCAATTTTGATGTGGTTCAATGTGCAGATAAGAAGAGGTAAAAAACTCACATTCTGAAGAAGCCACTTATGGTGAAACGCGTTTATGGTTATTAATTCTGTATTTTACTGTGTATTTTAGATCAATAAAAGTTTTTTGGCTACTTTATTGTACCAATCCTCTTTTATTGCACTCTTTATGCACTTTAAACAACTTTTGTTTTTACCTATTCCTGGCATTTTAACCTTTCCTGGTTACTTTTACTTCCATTGGCAATTTTAAAGTTCCAGTACTCCAAGAAATCCTAGGTGGGGATCATACCACCGGCGCCTATCCATAGAGCAGTACCTCTGCTCTATCTTTGTGAGTATTATTTTATTTTCTCTACTACTCTCTTAACCTATCACAATTGAGAGCACTATTGCTGCTTTTTATTCTTCTATATTGGAGCCTTGGATCACCAGACGGTGCTGACGGACGTATCGCCGCTACATATCCTATAAGCGGGGATTATACCGCTGTACGCTATCCACACCAGAGCTGGCCATAGCTCCCTCAAATGTGAGTTTTGTACCTCTTCTTATCTGCACATTGAACCACATCAAAATTGAGAGCACTATTGTTGCTTTCTGTCTTTCTTTTTCGAGCTCTGGACTACCAGACGGTGTTGACGGAGACCCCTCCCTACATATCCCATAAGCGGGGATTATACCGCTGTACGCAATCCACACCAGAGCTGGCCATAGCTCTCTTGAATGTGAGTTCTTTACTTTTTGTTACCTATCACACCCTGAACTTTCATACTATACCATTAGTCGCCTCTACCTCTCTTGTATTTACATATACGGAACGGTCTACACCAGACGCATCCACAGAGGAACTCTATCAAGTATCCTAGACCATCTATTGGCACCCTAGCAATACTTTACTGGACTATCTACCCTTATTTGGCGCAGCCCTTCCATATCTTTTTGTATCTATCCACCGAAGGACCCGAGGGGTTTTCCTTCATTTGGGTTGCTGCCTACCTTGACTAATTTTGTGATTACTAGCGCTGAATTCTTTTTGTGTTTATATATAACCATTCATAACCTAATGTTTTACTATATTATTAATTATATCTATTAGTGGTATCTTATTGTAGCTATATAATAAAATGTGATAAAATAACAAAGAATATGATGTGTAACGCGCCAAGATACTCCTGGTGCCATTACCACGACAGTCAGCTGCAGTGGTTATGGTGCTTGGATTGTTCCTTTAACAGTAATATTTCATAATACTTTCAGTGCCAATTGAATTTCATTTTTTTCTTCTCATTTCTATGGATTACAAATGTTTAGATAGAGAATAAATTGTTTTCTGTTTCTTTTCTGTTATAATACTATCCTTACCTTTTTGTGTCATTTTACCCCACTCCCTCTACCATGTAAGCTCATTGAGCAGGGCCCTCAACCCCTCTGTTCCTGTGTGTCCAACTTGTCTGGTTACAAATACATGTCTGTTCGTCCACCCATTGTAAAGCGCTGCAGAATTTGACGGCGCTCTATAAATATCATAATAATAATAATAATAAATGACATAATTCTATCACTCGTTCTCCAGGTTGTCTATGATAACAGCACACTATACGTTTTTGCACCAACAGCCGAAATCAGGCAACAGTGGGTGAAAGTTCTAAAAGAAGGTAATGTATGACATGAATTGTATTTGTAATGTGCCATGGCTTTCTGCACTCTCAGTTATTGTAATTTCAAGGAAGCGAGGAATGTAGGATTATTCACTTAAGTAATAGTTCAAAATAAATTTCAATTTGAAGGCCAAAGTAGCCGAATGGGAAGCATAGCTAATGTGGAGAATTATTCCAGTTTTGCTATGAATTCTCACTTTTGACACTGCACGGAAGGCTTAGAGCCTAGGGAAAGCTAACTGAAAGAAACAGATGGGAGGAGGGGGAAGAGGGAAGATGGTTTCAGTGTTCTTTATAGCTGTGCGAAAGAGACTATGTGCAGTGGTGGGATTCAGACGGTTCGCACAAGCCTGTTACTAAGATAAAACAAGTTGCCGAACCCCTTCAGCAGCTTACCTTAATCCAGAGCCGAGCTCCCTCGGCGCTGGTGACCTCTCCTCCCTGTCCGACGTCAGCTCCCCCGTCCAATGTCAGAGGAGCCGAATTCATATGTGCAGCAAGTGCCGCGCGCGCATTCAAAGTGTCCATAAGAATGCATTTCTCAGTGCTTTCCTATAGACGCTCTGCGCGATGGATGCGAATTTCGCATTCACCGTCACAGATGCGCCTCTAGCGGCTGTCCGGAAGACAGCCACTAGAGGCTGGATTAACCCCAAATGTAAACATAGCAGTTTCTCTGAAACTGCTATGTTTACATCTGAAGGGTTTAAAACCTTAGGGGCCTGGCACCCAGACCACTTCATTCAGCTGAAGTGGTCTTGGTGACTATAGGGTCCCTTTAACTGCACAGTCTGCCTACCTGACGCTGCTCCTGGGAGGGAGGGGAGGTCTGCTCGGCTCCCATTTACCATAGAGAAGGGGCTTGTGTAGCCAGGCTTGAGGTCTGAACGCTAAATGAGGGGGCTGGAGATAAGATGGGATGAAAGGTAAACGTCACATCCCTTCCCCCGCACTCTGACAATGTCTGCCACGCTCCAGAGAGGGTGTGAGAAGGCTGGGCAGAAGAAATAAGTTAGTGACAGCAGCTTTTGCTGTGACATAATTTATTGCTCTAATCTTCCTTCTGAGACAGAAAGATCGACAGCTCACTGAGCTAACTAGTGATCTTTGCCAGAGACCAGACAGCAGATAAGTAAGTTCACAATTCATAAAGTCACAGACCAAAAATCACTAATGTTTTTCTGTCCAAGGGTGTATATGAGTGACTGCGTCGATGTGCTTGTGTGTGTGCGTGCATGACTGGGAGGGGTAGAGTCTTGGACCCAGGCAGCACAATGTCTTAGGCTGGCCCTGTGGGGTTGGAAACATGAAAAGTCAGAACTGGTTACTAAAATAACTATAAATATTCTTGCAGATTTGCATTTACCTATGAAGGAAGGCATCACACATTTCACAGGACCTTTTTGTTGTCTATGTGCACTGGACCATTTTTATGGTGGCATCCCACCCTGTCCAAGGCAGAAACTTCCCCTTGCAAAATTTGAAAATGGGTATTATTGAATTCTCACTTTAGTGAATAACCCTCATAGTCTGGAAATTATGTTTCCGAATGTGCGCACAAAGAAAACATTTTTCCAGCTCTGAATATTTCAGTTTAATTGTCAATTATATGTAACGCACTGGTGAATTAATAATATTATTATTGCATTAAAACCAATGTCCATTGCTTAATCTGTTGAAATGACAAAATTCTTGAGGCTAATGCTTTGTCTCAGTGTCAGATGAGAGTGATGTAAAATGAGTTGGGACTGAAAAATAAGATTGAGTTTGAAATGATCTTGTATATAAATTTTTTTTTGGTAAAAACAGTTTTACAATAAAACTACTGGGTTGTTGTAAATATTAGTTGTACTTCTACATTTGTACAATATCCTGCAATTTACATTTTTTCCCTTTCTTTTTATCTCTTTTCTTTTTTTTTTAGAAATAAAGAACAACACCTACATTTTAGCAAAATATCACCCTCAATTCTGGGCAGATGGAGTTTATCAGTGTTGTAGGCAAACAGACAAATTAGCTCCAGGATGTGAAGAATATAATCTTTTTGGAGATAGTAAGTTTTTTAATGAAAATATCTGTATAAACTCAATGTAACCTCCCTACTATAAGGATACATTATACTAGACATGTGCAATTAGTTTCGTTCCGAATGTACATGTAGACGAATTTCGTGCAATTCGGATGCTTATGAATGTCTGAAGTTCCAAATTGCCAAAGTCACGGATTGCCAAAGTTCCATAGTGCTTTGGATTTCTGAAAAGTGGCAAGACAAGTGGTTAGGGGTTAGGGTCCGAATTGCTGAAGTTCCGAAGTGCCGAAGCGAATGCCATTGGTCAGAATTGCCGAAGCAGACAAATTTTTTTACTTACCCGAATTTCCAAACCGAACCAAATTTTTGGCCCATGCACATCCCTACATTATACTGCTTCTCTACTACCAACAGAGATACCACTCCATCTTTGACCCACATTGGGTCCATATAGAAAATAAAAATAAAAAATTGAGTTGCCGGATCTTCTCCATATGGAAGAAGGAAGATGCTTTAATCCAAAGAGCAGAATAAATTATCTTTATTCAAATGAAAATGACATGTGACTAAGACAGTGATGGCTAACCTTGACACCATATATTTGTTTCTGGACTACATCTCCCATGATGCTCAGCTAGCTTTTAGAGTTTAAAAGCTGAGCACCATGGGAAATGTAGTCCAGAAACAATTTATGGTGTCAAGGTTAGCCATCACTGGACTAAGACATCCAGGGGGAGTAAAAGGACCACTTCTGATGCATTTTGTGCATACCTCAGATGAGTGCCAGTAGGCACAAAATGCATTAGCAGTGGTTCTTTTGCAATGTCAGGAAATATACAGCCTCAGTGTTTCTTGAGATTCAGTGCATCACAGCAAGTACACTGAATATATATATATGTATATATATATATATATATATATATATACACACACACTGCTCAAAAAAATAAAGGGAAAACTTAAACAACACAATGTAACTCCAAGTCAATCACACTTCTGTGAAATCAAACTGTCCACTTAGTGACAATTAATTTCACATGCTGTTGTGCAAATAGGATAGACAACAGGTGGAAATTATAGGCAATTAGCAAGACACCCCCAATAAAGGAGTGGTTCTGCAGGTGGTGACCACAGACCACTTCTCAGTTCCTATGCTTCCTCGCTGATGATTTGGTCACTTTTGAATGCTGGCGGTTCTTTCACTCTAGTGGTAGCATGAGATGGAGTCTACAACCCACACAAGTGGCTCAGGTAGTGCAGCTCATCCAGGATGGCACATCATTGCAAGCTGTGGCAAGAAGGTTTGCTGTGTCTGTCAGCATAGTGTCCAGAGCATGGAGACAGGCCAGTACATCAGGAGACGTGGAGGAGGCCTTAGGAGGGCAATAACCCAGCAGCAGGACCGCTACCTCCACCTTTGTGCAAGGAGGAACAGAAGGAGCACTGCTAGAGCCCTGCAAAATGACCTCCAACAGGCCACAAATGTTCATGTGTCTGCTCAAACGGTCAGAAACAAACTCCATGAGGGTGGTATGAGGGCCCGATGACCACAGGTGGGGGTTGTGCTTACAGCCCAACACCATGCAGGACGTTTGGCATTTGTCAGAGAACACCAAGATTGGCTCTTCACAGATGAAAGCAGGTTCACATGGTCGATTTTTAATATAATTCATTCAAAATGAGCAGCCATTCCTTTTTGCAATATATATATATATTAAATTAAACTGTATCTTGCACTCAGGCTTCAAACTTGCCAAACCGGGTGCATTACCAGGGCTTGAGTATCCATATAATCAGGTAATGTGGCTGCACTCACAGATTTTCAATAAAAATTAACTTTTATTCCAGTTTCTTTTAAAACAGATCAACGTTTCAGTCCATCTTGTGGACTTTCATCAGGATCAACTGAGAAACTGGAATAAAAGTTAATTTTTATTGAAAATCCGTGAGTGCAGCCACATTACCTGAATATATATATATATATATATATATATATATATACACAGCCAGATTTTTATTTTGAGCTAATAAAAGCTAAGTTTTATTCATTCTACTTGGAAGTCCTTGGAGTGCTATCTTGTAATTTTGGCTATATCTGTTTGCTGATAAGCACAGGGCAAGTACATCAAGGAAGGTAGAATGCATTTCTATTTTTGTTTTTTATATATATATTATATATATTCCATTCTATTTTAATCCATGTAGTTATTTACATGGAGTAGTATTGCTGTACTTGGATGCAGAAAATAAAATATATGTTAAAAACACAAATATATATATATATATATCCAGCAAGTTTGACAATGCATGGTGATAAAATGGTAGAAAGAAAAGTTTCAAAATGCTCTTGGCTAAGTACTTTGGGGGTTTATTTTATCTAAAAATATACTTTTGTGGAGTGGTATTGGATTATGGGAATGCTATTTGACTTGTAGTTGCAGCTGACAACATTTTGCAAAGGATTATCATAATAACAAATGAATGTATTTTTACTGGCATTAGTTGTGTAAAAATTGTTATAAGTGGAGGAAAGATAACATAAGCAAAACTTTGAATATATATATTTTTTAATTTGTTCCCCGACTTTAACAATGTATTCATGTTTAATGTTGTGTGACGTATACATATATGGTGTGAGACGTAAATCCTATCTGCCCTTTAAAAAAAATTAAAAAATTAGTAATTAACATATAGCAAAAATACCTAAAAAGATTCAGTAAAAAAATTACAGAATACAGAGAAGCCTTGGTCACAAAAAAATGTAATAAAAGCATTCATTTACATTTTCTCCCTTTTTTTTTTCTAGTTGCAAGAAAGCCTCTGCCTCCAACTCCAGATGCAATCATGGTGAGAACAAGTAGGATGTTTTATTTTATCATAGAAAAAAATAGCTCAGAATTCCCTAGTCTTTCACTTTTGAGGACTATTTATGTTTTTGGTAAGTGAAGGTCTTTGGAAATAGAAATAGAATAATGAGCTTAGATTAAAAAAATAAATAAAATGTAAAAAAATGAAAATAAATCTATATATGTGGCGGGACCGCTGCCTGTCCGTGAATTGCCTTTTTTACATTATGTGTGTTTTCCCCATCTTTTTGCATATTGTGCCCGCTCCCCGTTTGGGAGTGCCTCCACGAAGGGAATTAATTCGCCTCCCGAACAGGGGACCACCCTGATACCCCCATTTAGAATGTTGGTTTAAAACCTTCACACCTCGCAACATAAGTATCAAACCGCAAGGGAAGCAATTAATGGGCGCTCCCCTGGGCAGATGCCATTCATACAGACGAATACCAGACAGGGGGAGCGTACGTGGATTGTTTCCCGACTCGTTAGTATCCCGAATGAGGACCTCCCCAGTGTCCCATTAGAACGTTTGCACCAACTATTCAGAATGTTCTCACTTGCAATCTAAGTGTGAAACCGCAAGGGAAGTAATTAATGAGTGCTCCCCTGGGTGACCGCCATTTCGTATATACGAACACCATCCGGGGGGGCATTCATACTCTTAAAGGAGACGCTTCCCACCAGGACCTCGGGAAATATATATATATATATATATATATATATGTACACATATACACTCAGGGGTAGGCAACCTTCGGCACTCCAGTTGTTGTGGACTTCATCTTCCATAATGCTTTTGGTGTAGTCCAAAACATCTGGAGTGCCGAAGGTTGCCAGAAGATCTAGATCAGGCCTGCCACCCAGATGTTGCTGAACTACAACTCCCATAATTCTTTCAATAAAATAGCCGGGGAATCATGGAAATTGTCGTTTAGCAATATCTGGGGGACGCCAAGTTGGACAGCTCTGATCTAGATGTTCTCTACACACTGCTAGATGTTTAAATGGGGGCACTTTGTTAAACAAACCACCGATTTGTGCTGACACAAGTCCTTACCATAATGAATCAAGCATAACACTTAATAGCAGGTTTGGTAGTTACATTTTAGGTACCTTATAAACTCTCAAACTAATGTACACACATTTTTTTATAATATTAAATGCCAAACATTGAGTTAATGCTCACTGTCTTTAGATGATCTTTAGATCTAAAGATTTATCCAATGCATACAATGACTCAGTTTAGAATTCTCTGTACAGATATCCTTACCTGCAACTTTCATTACTACCCGTTGTAAAAATGCATAATTAAATCCACGCATGTTTTCATTTGGGCTATATCTACTAAACAGTGATTTTTATTTATTTTGTATTTGGGCACTGGAGTTTCCCTTTAATTATTTTAGAATATGTTTTGTTATGGAAGAAACGCCTTTACAGTTTTATTAGCTATGTTATAATATATATAACATATATAACATGTATTATATTCGTTATGTTCTATTGTTTTCAGTTCTATATAATGTTAGTGAGTAAGGGGGAAACATTGATAAATGTAGCTAATTTTAAATGTAATCATAATAAAATGCTGACTGACTATCATTTGTATTTTTACTGGCCAAACAGACAAATAACGGAGTTATAAAGACGTTTTCATAACATAAATGAAAATATTTAATAGTGCCTTAAAAATCTCGTTTTATTTTATCTAGTCACGGCCTCCACCCCCTCTCCCTCCAGAAGAAAAAACAGATGGAGAGAAGGGAGAAAGAGACGAAATGGTTATCGCAATGTTTGATTTCTTTCCAGCTGAATCGCACGATCTCGCTCTAGTCACTGGAGAAGAATATGTCATAGTTGAAAAAAAGGATGCCCATTGGTGGAAAGCAAGGGATAAATATGGGTGGGTATGAGAACACATCGGGCAGTTTTCTGGAATGTATGCAAATTGTTAGATGATCTCCAAAGAACCAGAAACAAACTCTAATGGCTGAAGTTGGTTTCCCATTAAAACTAAAACAACATTAATCACAAATAATGATATTCTCAGTGGTATGCTCCTATTAATACAAAAAGGATCTGAATTCACTTTTTCATCCTTTTTTAGTATCTTTAATTAAACCATTAAACAACTTTTTTAAAGTCTCTTCCCCTCTGTTTTACTCAATACCTTTTTAAAAATAGTATAAACTTACCTGGAATCCAGTGCTGGGCCAAGTTCTCCGCCATCACTTCAATGCCTCTTCTTTCCTAGAGCTGCATTATCTTCTTCCTTGTTGAGGTCCAAGCATTTGCTTCTCATAGAGAAGCATTGATGGACATGCAGTGAATGCGCGGCGAGCAATGCAAATACGACAATCATCTTCTTCACATAGAAAAGCATTGAATCCAATGCTTTGTTTCCTGAAAGAAAGGAACCCATCTGGGCATGTAAATGAGTGGACAAGGGGAGGGAAGTCAGTTTATTACTGGCTCACACTGATCACACTGGAAGGAGGGTGTAACCTATTGGAGAGGGCAGTCAGTGTTGCAGAAAAGTGCACATATCTCTGTATATGCAGTGTTTCAAGCTGAAATGCTGCACACACAGATTGCTTGCTCCATGACCACTTCTAAAAGCAGAAGAAGTCAAAGAGGTTGAAGAAACCTTAGAGAAACATTGCATTGTCAGTGTGCCGTACTCGGTGCTTGCAGGCGCTGTATTTTTCAGTGTAGACATGAATAAATGGTTGCCAACTTAAAAAATTACTTTTGACATTCTATAGAGTATTTTATTTATTTTCAAAGTGTACCATATTTGTACTTACACACTCTGTGATTGTTGGATCTACCTGAATATTTAAACATTGCTACAGAGACAAGGCGACTGTTGCAATGCTGTTCACCAGCATATTAAAGGTATTTTATTTTGTTTGTCTTTCCTAGGAAAGAGGGATACATTCCAAGCAATTACGTCACAGAGAAGAAACTAGACAATCTAGACCAGTATGAGTAAGTATTAATACAAGGGTCCGATGGGAGCCAAACACCCATCTATAATAATGCAATTTAACTGTGTGTTAACTAAATTACAAAAATGTAACCATTGTCTGGCTGTCTTTATTTTATGCACAAACCTTAAGTCTCAAGTCTTCCTTACTTAATCAGTAACAGTAGAATCAACGATTGCTATCTCACTTGTTAGGACCAATAAAACTTAAGTTTCTAAACTTTTTTTTCCCTAGGTGGTATAGCAAAAGTATGAACCGAAGTAAAGCAGAACAGCTCCTTAAAAATGCAGTAAGTAGTGCAGTTCTGTAAAATCAAAAAAAAAAAATATTGCAGTAAGTATTATAAATGTAGAACATGGACATTGGCCTATTATTTCCTCTAATATATTTTTATTTTAGTCCTTAAGTCCGTGCCAGTTTTTGACAATGTTGCTACAAACCTAAACCACCCTATGTCTATGGCTTTTTTTTATGCAGCTGAACTTTCACATTAATTCCCACCTATTTCTAATCTGAATAGTATTTCTACTTTATATTGTGCAGAAATTTGTGTTTAAAATTAAATGTGCACCTGTGCCCTCACTCAGCCTCCTTGTGAATCAGTCCGAAATACAAAGTAAATTAGAGAGGATGCTGTACACAAGATCCAGCGCACTCACCTATCCACTAAACAGCAACTTCAATGTTGAAAGATTTTATTTGTTTTTTTAAAAACCCCTAATCTAGGCAAAAATAATGGGGGTTTAGTTACATTATATGATCATACATTGCATAAGCCTGCCACAACGTCAATGTACCCCATCTTTGGCAGGTCCTACACTAACAGCCTAATGTCTGCTCTTATGAGATTAACCTACTTGGGGAAAGAAATTCCATCTGGGGCTCTCTGCAGTACAAGGCTAAATAGGGCCCTGGGATGAGGCACCTGTGACAGGGAGGGGTGCAAAACCAAGGAGTTGGCTAGACTCCCAAATATATATAAAACAAGAGGGGGTTGGCTGCACTCACCTTAACATGCATAAATGGGGGTGCTGCTGGGGGCCAAATAATACAATACACAAGATCCAGCGCACTCACCTATCCACTAAACAGCAACTTCAATGTTGAAAGATTTTGTTTTTTTAAAAACACCTAATCTAGGCAAAAATAATGTTTTTTATATATATTTGGGAGTCTAGCCAACTCCTTGGTTTGGGAGTCTAGCCAACTCCATAGGCGGGTGTCAAAGGTCACTCTATGGCTAATGCTTCTTTGTTTTTATTAATTATAAATGGTCAATTTGTTTTGCAGTGCTGTGGACAATGAGATACAAAGCCATATGTTCTCACTATTTTATGCATTGATATATTAAAACATGTTAAAGAAAAAAATAAATGTGCTTTTTTAATATGCCAATACTTTGGAATTGAATGCGAAATGTTGGGTTTGCCATGCATTTGACTGCAAAATGCCATAAACTATATTGTGTAAATTGCTTAATTTACTGTGTGTGAAACACCTGTATTGGCATATTTAGCATTATCGTGTACCTGTTGTGTCGTTTTTAGGATAAAGAAGGAGGTTTTATCGTTAGGAATTCAAGCCAAGCTGGCTTATACACTGTGTCACTTTATACTAAATATGGAGGGTAAGTTCGTACATTCCGATTTACAAATCATTCTCCTACTGTGTAGACAAGCAATTTATTATCTACAGTTTCATGTGTAAAGTGTCTTAACACCTTGTAAAGTGTACCTGACCTGTACATGTAGTTTGCTGGGTAATGGTTTTCTTTTAGCCAAATATTTTTTAAAAAGGTAGAAATATAAGATTAAAGCTTATATTTTTAGGGCCTTAGGTGTACAGCTGTAGAATAAGGTTCTAATTTAGTCTCCTGGGTCTGGAGGTTTGGAGGTACTTTTGCAGGTCTTCACCCATCAATGCCCTGCACCCCCAGGGTCTTGTGGCCGATGGAAACAGATAGAATTTAGTAATAGCTAGTTTCGGGTGCCTATGGATTCACGTAACTAACAGTGAATCAGTTAGTCTGGTAATAAATATCAGGAACTCGTAACAAAGTACAAATAGATAAGATAGGAACTAAGGTGTGAAGGGACTAAGGCACAAAATGACACTTCATAGACCAACAAAACTTAGGTATAGGTATACTCTGAGTACGTACTCAGCTCAGCCAATGAGAGATCAGTGTGAGGCGAGCTGCTGACATCACTCAACATTGCCCCAGCACCCCTATTATGTGCTTCTATTGTTCCTTTAAACAATACATTTGGAGTTCTGCTTCTCATTGACACTCTTGCAGCAAAATCCCAGAATATATGAGTAGGATTCTGGGGTTGAACTACAAACATTTTGGGATATCCAAAAATTACCCTAATAGTACAAGCTTCAAGGTAATTAAGCTATACAATAGCATCTACATTCGTAAAACAATGAAGATTAAGCTACTTAAAATGTCCATGTAAATAGTTAACCTGTCACTGTGACAGTGCTCCCTACTTTTTTTAGAAAAGTTTACTTAATAATACGGCTCTAACTGAGACCTTATTCCTCCCTTCGTGTAACACTTACTGAGAATCTCTTGCAGAGTATGGTCCAATAATAATAAATAGAGAAAAGCTAGGAATTATATGGCTCTTTTTGATATGATTAATTGGTAATTGTAATTCACCGTTTCATCTAAGTGTTTTATATAGCCTTATTAGCTCTTATCTGTTGTTTGATTGTTTTATGGAGCATTCAAATGTCCATTTGAGTATATTTTTCTGAAACAAAGACCAGAACAAAATAAAAACCTTCAGGAAATTCTGTAGATTTTATGATATTTTTTTAGAATGTGTGATATGTTCTGTAACCTTTTCACCACATTCTGTACATAATATCAATCTGTACTGACAGCGGTATTTCTAAAACTTTCGTTTCAGGGAAGGCACCTCATCAATAAGGCACTACCACATTAAAGAGACTGCATTTCCAAAGCAGTACTACCTTGCAGAGAAACACATCTTCAGTGCAATCCCAGAAATGATTGAGTATCACAAACACAATGCAGCTGGTAAATACATCACATCTCACAGTTCTAATCGGAAACTATGGGTTAACACAGCTGCTAGTCAGGTTTCTTGGAAACAGACAGATTAGAATCAGATTGCACAGAAAGCCAAGTAGGATGTAGAAAAGAGCAGCTACAAAGGTATAACTCAGATACAATCAAGAATGCATGTCTCTCAGGAAGAGGCACAACTTGACAGTTCAGCAAAAGGATTGGTATGATCTAGAACAGGCCTGTCCAACCTGTGGCCCCCCCAGATGTTGCTGAACTACAACTCCCATGATTCTTTCAATTAAACAGATAGACAGGGAATCATGGGAGTTGTAGCTCAGCAACGTCTGGGGGGCCGCAGGTTGGACAGCCCTGATCTAGAACAACCTTCAGCACTCCAGATTTTGTGGACTTCATCTTCCATCATGCTTGGCCAGCATCATGACTGTAAGAGCATTATGGGAGATGTAGTTGCCAATATCTGGAGCGTCGAATGTTGTTCTAGAAACAACTGCTGCAACAGGTCTACGAATTAGGATGATAAGCACCCAACTCAGAGCAAGCAGGTGGAAAGGCTTGTATAAAGAACAACAGGGAAGGGACATCAGATAAGCCTCGGTAATTCAGCTCAATATAGCCTTGTACTAAATCAGATAATTTTAGGTAACAAAAAGTGTCAGGTCCTCTTTTTAAAATGTAATAGATAAACAGATTTACCAACATGTTTAAACTGGGGATATTCCGTGACACAGTGCCAAATTCAAAGCAACTGATTTAGGAATTGGATTTTAGTCTAGTGCATTAGGAACGTGATTGAAATTTAGCAGTTTAACAGAGAACTGCTCCGATTATGCCTTGCTAAATGTGACCAATTTTCCTTAAAATGTCAAAAAGGCTGAAATAAAGAATTAATATGATACTAGCAAATGTCCCTGTATTCACTGTTTGTCTCTATTCACTGTTTGGCAGTTTTTAAAGGAACGTCTTACAGTCTTCAAAAACATATTCTATTGTTAAATGGTGTTGTGCTATAGTGTTCCATTAGCTGTCAGTAATATTTAACAGAATAAGTATTTTGCATGATAAAATGCCTTTTTTTTTTTTTTTTAGAATCTCTGTCACGAACATGTCCATTGTTTATGAAGCATGGTAGCTCATTGCATCAAAAAGAACTGCCTCTCAATATGATGATCTTGTTTGTTTCATTTTCTAGGCCTCGTTACCAGACTGCGATATCCTGTATGCTCCAAAACAAAGTCGGCTCCCACAACAGCGGGTTTCAGTTATGGTATGATTGCTCACTAGTATGATGCATGTAAAGTGGCAGAAATTCCCATCTGTCATGTCTCCTAAACAAAGCATTGCTTGGTGCTAGACCTGGCCTCTGATCCAAATTCAACAGTTTCTTTCAATTACTCAGCTTTCTGTGGGAGCTATTGACATTTTTTAGAGTTCATCAATGAACTCTGAAAAATGTTTGTAGATCAAGTAATAAACGTTTTCACATAGGTCAGACAGGATGCCCTTCTGTTGCGGTCAGACTAAAACACCCATGTTGCTGAACCTGCTTATTTCATACTGAAGCAGTGAAAGTAGAGAATGCTATCTGTAAAAACAAATAGAACCATTTTGTATTCATGTAATTGACTAGTTTATATTCCGTTGGTATGACTCCCTTATTAGGCACTGATGAATAGCATAACACGTGGTAAACTTACAACAGAAATAGGTTTCCGTTTTCTTTTTTCTGTGGAATTTCAATGTTTCTATATTTTCATGTTTGCCAGTTTAGACAAAATTCTGTCATTTCCAATATCCCCTTTTTCATGTGTTCAGTTCCATCATTTGGTCCTAAGTCAAGAAGGCTAGAGAGTCCCAACCTGTTTAATCCTAACGCAAACCCTCACTCCCTCCCATCCTCAAATATCGCACTAAGTGTTGCTTTGTCCCCTAGTCCCAAAATAAAAATAATCCCTGTCCCCTCCCCCTGTCATTCCCCTGGGATTGTGGTAATTAAATGTCAAACTTAAAATGAATTGGCAGTATACAAAATAAAAGTTACTGCATGATTTGCTGCGTTTAGTCTAATATTTCCCCAGGAGTTATTTACCAAGGTGTATTAGACGTTGTGGATTCATGCACCCACTGCACAAGACTGTCAGGTTACAAAATATCACTTAAATAAACAGTGCGTGTTTTGTTCCAAGTGTATATGATGTTGATTTTCCTAAATGTATTGGTGGTAATTTTATAGTATTAATAACCACCTTATTTTATCTTAATGCTAGAGTGTTCCTTATTTGGCATACATGCCTCTGAATTCAATACTACTCTGTGAGAAGCATTGTGACTCTGAATGTGAACACTCAGTTTTTGAAAGTTTTCACTGGGTACTGCAGGTAAAGTCGGTCTGATAGCCTCTGGAGACATCCTGATTGAAAAATGTCAACTTTGCGATATTTCGCAAAGAGCAATGCTTACATTTACCAGACTGCAGAAACAGGGAGTAAGCTGTAAAAATGTAAGAATCTAATTTATATAATTTAATATTTTGTGTACTTAATGAATCATGAGAACAAAGCATTTATTTCCTGTCCTAATGTGTTTTATACCCCACATCCTATAGACTTTAAGCTCGTTTGAGCAGGGTCCTCTTCAACCTATCGTTCCTGTAAGTTTTCTTGTAATTGTCCTATTTATAGTTAAATCCCCCCTCTCATAATATTGTAAAGCGCTTTAGAATCTGTGGGTGCTATATAAATGGCAATAATAAAAATAATTTAATATAAATTCACATCCACTCCCTTAGTGTCCAGCCCATCAAATTATGCTTACATATTTTATAATTGCCATTCTGTCAGGATGAGGTAAACCATACACGTGTAAACCTTCTAGTTTCTAAAGATTTCAAGATATTTTGTATATTTGCATAAAGAGATGTATTTTATTACTTTTAGATAAATGGGAAATAAATCCATCAGAGCTTACGTTTATGAAAGAATTGGGAAGTGGTGTATTTGGTGTGGTACGTCTAGGAAAATGGCGGGCCCAATACAAAGTTGCCATTAAAGCAATTCGAGAAGGGGCGATGTCTGAAGAAGATTTCATAGAGGAAGCTAAAGTTATGATGTGAGTTTAAACAACAATGAAGTCATTTAAAGATATTTTCTCTGATGCCTATGCTCAGCCAATTACAGTGTTTTTGAATATCACAGAATTTGCCTTACCCCTTGTCCTGATGAGGTTAACCAGCTTTATATAAATAATATAAGAGTATTAAATTACATGTGTTATATTATTTACTTAATATATATTTATATTTTTCTATAGGAAATTTACACACCCCAAGCTAGTTCAATTGTACGGTGTTTGTACACAGCAACGGCCGATCTACATTGTAACTGAATTTATGGAACAGGGTTGCCTCCTGAATTACCTCCGACAAAAGAATGGCCAGTTCTCCAGAGACCTTTTACTGAGCATGTGTCAGGATGTGTGTGAAGGAATGACTTACCTGGAGGAGAACAATTTCATACATCGTGACCTGGTAATAAATACAGACCGTCTTTATCAGGCTTTCTCTTAATGAACATAACTAACCCTTTCACTACCGAGTACTTTGATAGAAAAAATATTAGCATAACATATATTAGAAGCAAGGGATGCAAAACTGGCATATAAATGTATCATATCACAACTGTTTTATGTATAGATTGCTTGGCAGGCAAACAAACATTTTAATTATGTAAATTTACAGAATTTTTTTTTTCACTTATTTGTTCATCCTTTATAATAAATATTTGGGAAATTAAAAGGATTAGACAGTATACAGTGTCCTTTATCTTTTTCCTCACATACACTAGGTGTGATCAAAATAAATTGGCCAAATCCCTTGCTAACAAATATTACAGTGGATCGCTAGCAGCACAGCATCCTAAAAATTACAACAGAATTTAAAAAGAATGTCTGCATTTGAGCATAATGCCCAGATGCAGTGAATACAGTTAAATCATAATTTCTAAAATAAAGCTATTTAAAACTGCTGTAGCAATATTTGTTAATCTATGGAATGCTAATGTAATGCACACAGTGAAATGGTAGAGTCAATTCACTCCTCCCCCTCACTGACTGTAGGAATGATATGACCCATAGAAACTTGCTTTACTGTTTGGATGTAGAAGGTGATCTTACATTTTCAGTAAATGTACAGTCATTATTTAATTGACTTGGCTTTAGCAAAGAAATTCATTCCTCTACAGGCTGGTAATCATACCTAGAGTATAAACGAGGGTGAGTGAGGCTTTACGGACTAAATTTCATACAGCAAAATACATAAAACCGTTTATACTCGATTTGGGTATTGAAGGGGTTAAAAGGTAAAGTTCTTTAAAAACATCTAGGCCACTTAAAACACATTTGCAGCTGTTCACGAAGATATACATTTGCAAAGGCAATTTGTCTGAAAATCATTTGGGGAAAAAAGAGGTGATTGTAGTAGGTTGGAGTCAACATCTCAGAAGTGGTTTACTCCATTTACCACCTTTCCAAATTTACCAAACTCTTTCCTGATTTCCCAAATGCCTTTAAAAGAATATTGAACGTTTCAAGGATTGCTTGGGAGAGTTATGCAATGCCTGCTAACTGATCAAACACCCAGCAGGCTGGCAGGTAAAACATAGCATGCTCCCCTGAGTTCGATAAAGAAATCTTCAAATTAGCTGGAGCAGAGGGGAAAGCAAGTGAAGTTAAAGGGTTAAAAGGAATTCAGTGCTTTCATAATGTTTCACAACCTAACACATGACAAGTGTTCCCCAGTGCCACGATACATTTAGAATTTATTCAAATGACTTCCTTATTCTGCCGTAAAAAGAAAATTCTGAAATAGCCACTGATATTAGAAATTATTTGAGATGTGAGGCTCATTCTCTAAGCCAGGAGTTGGGAGAAATTGTCATAGTAATGGCAATTCTCAAGTCTAAATAACTGAATTAGAAACATTTTACATTCATAATTGTAATTCTCTAGCAATTATCTACTAGTTGTATTTTAGTGAATAATATGTTTTATTGATTTATTCTATTCTAATTCATTGAATGTTGCCTGGGAACTGTATAGAAAGCTTACTAATAACCTGGACAAAAAAAAACCTCAGCATTTGTAATGGAGAGCAAATACTTTATATACAAATTATAATTGTTAGCAACCTGGTTTCATAGCAGCAAACATGTTTCCTGGACCAGATATATATCTATAAAAATAAAATCCCTTAGGGCAATACAATACTAGTATAAATGGCAAAATATTCTCTTGGGAAAAGTCTGTGCCTACAGAGTAATGAGCTTAATGCAGTGTGCCAACTATATTATTTTTTTTTTTGCTCCTTTTTTCGTGATTGTATAATCTTTAATTAAATTCATAAACTAGAAATGAGAAATATTACTAGGAAAATATTACTAGAAAAAAAAAGACACATTTACAATTTTGTGAAGTTGTGGAAAAAAAAAACATGGGGAAAAAAGGCACACTTTTTTGTATTATTATTTTTCTTAATTTTTTTGCACTAGAAGCAACACATTTATGAACCAATAAAAGAATCAAAATGTAACAGGAAAATTAAATGGTCAAAAGATACAGTAGGAAATATTTTGGTGCAAAGATGGAGAGTACCAGAAAAACCCCTTAAAAAGTGAACCCAAGGTATTTTAGAGAGCTCACGTGTGTGACGGTAGTATAGGGTATCACCGTCAAGCATTCCCTTCTTCCCATAAAAGAAAATCACCCAATATTCCACAAGTAGAAATATACCTGGAATCGCCGAATAGTCCACACATGAGCCAATGCTTAATGCTGGAACAAGACTTTACTGGAAGTAACAAGAACAGGTATTCAAGCTACAGTTTCTTTTATGCCCTTCTCCCATACAGGGGAGGGACACACACGTTATCTACAGTAACCAATAAAACAGAGGTTACAGCCCACACAAAATCCTCCCCTCTGCCTGTGATTCAATTATCTTATACAATAGAAGATGCAGTTATCACAGGCAGGAAAAATACAGTTTTTACAGCATATTCATAACTTCTAAAATATACATCACATTCACATAAAAATTATATATTCACAATCAATCCATTCAGGGAAACAACATATCAAAAAATGGCATGAATCAGACCAGGGGTTCAGAAGTTAGTAAAGTATCTTTTGGGGCCTGGCTGGCAGCATGGCTATCTGGCCCAAACCGGTTTTACAGAGCCCTCTATCCTGGAGACAATGGGGAACATAATCCAATTATATCCAGGGATAGAGGAAGACTCCATTGAGCACATGTTCCCAGTAAAACACAAAAGGATACAAAAATACATAACTCCTATCATACTGAATTGAACGGGCCAAATCTCCCAGGGTCCATAGTCACAGTGCAAGAGGCGGGCAAGCAGTCCTCTCCAGGCACAAGTGGCGAAGGGCACTTTGTCACAGTAATAAATCCATGAATAAAGTAGCAGGGAGGGAAAGTACCGAATGAATGGAGGGGGATTCTTCACAACGTGGTTATTCAATAAAACCATGAATTATACATACTTGGCCAAAGTAGCTGACAGGTGAGAATTGTCATGAATTCAAAGTGAGATCAAATTGAATTCAAAATTTAAGTCCAAAATAGCCAAACAGTAATCATTCTCCGTCAGTCACCTATGCTTCCAGTTCTGCTACTTTGGCCTTAAATTCGAATTTCACGTTGAATTCACTTTAAATTCCTGTCATTTCACACTTTAGTGAACAATCGTTTGGGTCAGAAATATTCTCAAGCTTAGCAATTTCTTAAAATTTCTCAATTTTTGCCTTTTTATTTGTAATTGCTGGGTTAGTTCTCATTGATCCACAGAACACCTGCCTTAAAAGGATACCTTGGCAATTCTAAACGTTCTATATCATGTTTTGTTTTCAGGCTGCCAGGAACTGTTTGGTAAATGATGGAGTAGTAAAGGTGTCTGATTTTGGAATGACGCGGTAAGAATTTATTTATAACATTTGTGAATTTCCAAGTTTTGGTGTAATGTAAATATGACCGCGATGCTAGTTCCACAAAGCACAAGAAGGAGGGTGTTTTATATCTTACATATATGAAAATAGTTTTGTGCACTAAGTGTTGGGCAGCAAATTTCAAATGGATTTTACTTGGCAAGTTCAGAAATTGGCAGATTTTAGATGCACAATGTTACAATGAAAAAAATGATATAGGAACAACATGCCTTTTTATTACGTAAAGAACGACTATCCATCTTTTGTACATTGGTGACTTTTCTTTCTGTACTATGCCCAGCACCGACCCATGTGTTAAAGGGACACTCTAAGAAACAAAACCACTAAATCTTAATATAGTGGTTATGGTGCAAAGAGACTATCTTAGTATCGTTAATGGGCACACTACCTTTGCTTAGAAAGGTTCTGCTTCCAACAGAAACTGTCTTTATTGTCACTTAGACAGCCATTAGAGATGCTTTTTGTTGCCTTCCTGCATTAAGATGAAGATCGCATCCAATAGAGCTGCATTGAGCTCAGGGCCGGCGCGTCCATAAGGCAGCACAGGCGGCTGCCTTAGGGCGCACTGGCTCTGGGGGCGCAATATTTCAGTGACCGGCAGGAGGGAAGCTCTCCCTCCTGCCAGGCCACCATCTGGACCCCTGGCGCGGCAGTGGTGTGATCAGAGGCGGCGAGGGAGCTCTAATCTCCCCTCACTGCCCCCTCGCGTGCCTTTTGGTAATGCCGCGGGAGCCGGAATAGGACTTCATATTCCAGCTCCCAGCATCAGTAGGCAGCCCACGAGGGAACAGAGCAGGAAGATTAGAGCTCCCTCGCCGCCTCTGATCACACCACTGCCGCACGCCGCCCAGCAGCCCCAGGGAGTGATCCATCATCCACACCAACTCTCCAGGTAGGGAGGCTGGGTGGAAAATGCTTATTTATAAAATAATAATTAGTGAATGTATGTGATGTGTATCTGTGAGTGACAGAGTTTGTGTATCTGTGAGTGACAGAGTTTGTGTATCTGTGAGTGACGGTGTGTGTGAGTGACAGTGTGTGTGAGTGTGTGCGTCTGTGTGTCTGTGAGTGATTGTATGAGTGTGTGTGCATGTGAGTGGATGAGTGTGTCTGTCAGTGGATGAGTGTGTCTGTCAGTGGATGAGTGTGTCTGTCAGTGTATGAGTGTGTGTCTGTCAAATCAGTGAGAGTATGTTTGTCATTGAGTCTGTGTGTGACTGTCAGTGTGTCAATCAGTGTGTGTCAGATCAATGAGTCTGTGTCTGTCAGTGACGTCTGTGTGTTTGTCATTGAATGTGTGACTGTCAGTGTGTATACACCACTGAGTGTCGCGTTGCGGAGCGGAGCGCGGTACAGGAGCTTCTGTTTCCTGCTGACAGGAGGTTCTCACTGAGAGAGCACTCCCAGTCAGTCTGGCCGGATACAGAAAACTGAAGCTCCTGTATGGGATCTGCTCCGCTCGGCAATGCAACAATAGAGGTAGGAGGCACACGAGGAAGGGGAGTGTGACCACTAAAGGGGTATGGGGTGCACCAAGGGACAGGGAGGGAATGGGAGAGAAACACCAAGGGACAGGGAAAAGAGGGGGAAGGGGAGAAGAACACTAAGGGACAGGGAAGGGAGGGGACCACTAATGGTCGGGGTGGGGAGAGGGGCTGGTTAAGAGGCACATAGGTGAAGATGTTTTTTTGGGGGGGGGAGGGGTAGGGGGCGGAAAAATGCATCTTCGTCTATGTAACCAAAAATCCTTGCATCGGCCCTGATTGAGCTATTGCATCTTTATGAGAAGGTGCTGATTGGTGCAGTACAGTGATTGCCATGCATGAGCCGTAGTCCCCAATTCTTCACTATGGGGAAACATTAAATCGGCAGACATCATCATCACAGATTATCTCTGGGAGTGCGTGTGGGAATGCGGTGGGGTCCACTGTGAGACCAACACACTATGGAACATAAGAGGAGTAGAAATAATTTTTTTAAAAAAGTTTTACAAGAGGACCCAATAATCTAACTAAACAGGAAAACATGCTAACTCTATAGATAAGTCTTTAACGTTAGTGTTCCTCTTAGTGTCCATGAGAGTTTTTGACTGCCAGTTTATATCCCCTTGTCATTTTTTACCCACAACTCCATATGTAATTTAATGAGGAACTGTCACTTCCTCAATTTCAACACTACCTAATTGCTAACTAAATGTTAGCTATTGGTTCTGCAAATTTTTTATTTTTTTTATAATTTAATTATCAACTTATATTTTACTTGATATGCTTTCTTGGGAAAAGCCTGGACATGTATGTAAATTAGTTAATTCTTGCAATGCCATACACATGTGACACATGCATGTGTAAGGCAGGGCTGTAGAAAATAGAAGCATTACATGCATGCAACTTCATTTCCCCATTGGATGACTGAGAGCGCACATACCCACTCAAGGCACCATGGGAGGGCAAAGCTGCCATAATGCCGAACTGTGAAAACATAACTGATTAGCAATTAAACTGACCAAACACGTCAGTTGGTGTTTATGAAAGGTACTTTCAGGTGGGATGAGGTTAACACAAGGAAAGCTGTAAAAAAAATAATTGTGATGCTTTGATAATTTAACCCCTTAAGGACACATGACATGTGTGACATGTCATGATTCCCTTTTATTCCAGAAGTTTGGTCCTTAGGGGGTTAAAGTATCAGTGACTCCTGAAAATTTATTTCCAGAAATATTTTTGAAAAAAATAATTCAAATAAGTTAATATTATTTTAATCTGTCCAAGCTATAGTTAGTGCGGCTGGGATCATCCCTTCATTGTAGAGGTGACTTTTTTGGAATTACATCATTATTTTCAAGCCCTCATCGACCGTTATTGATAAAAAATAAAAAATAAACAAAACAAGTCTGGAGAAAACATGCGCCGCTCAGAGACTGGGATTTGCAGAGTAACTCACAGCTTCGCACTTCACAGGAAACAGGAAATGGCTGTTTGTACACTGCGAATTGTCCTTGGTTACTGGTTAATTGTTTAAAAACTGCGAACTAATCTGTCAATTTCAATATTATGGCCAAAATGAATAAACTTCAATTTATTTGTGTGATTGAATTTTTTTCTTGCATCATTTAATTCATGGAAATATGAATCTAAGATTTTTTTTCTAACAGTTATGTACTGGATGACCAGTATACGAGTTCCTGCGGAGCTAAATTTCCAGTAAAATGGTCTCCACCTGAAGTTTTCAATTACAGCAAGTTCAGCAGTAAATCAGATGTCTGGTCATTTGGTAAGACTGTTTTTGTTATTATAATAAAATAATTATTAGCATTTTAATAATAAAAAAAGAGGATGGAGCATCTGGATAAATGATGGATTGTTGGTTATTGTTTTTAATTAAAATAATATTTTTCACTAAACACTGAATTGCAGTGAACTGAACCCCCCTCCCCCCCAACTAATTGTAAATTCAGTTTAAATAGCCAAGCAGTGGGACTGAGAAAAGTTTGAGAGTTTTTCCAAATCAGTTATTCTGACCTATTTAACGCGCTACAATTTAGCTTTTCATGTATATGCCATTGTACAGCCCATCAAGTTAAAGGGTTACTCCATTCCTCATAACCGCTACAGCCTGTATTCTTGTGCCATACAATCATTTTTCAAAAGTTTGCCACTTAACCGGAGTCCCGCGGGGCACTCAGCCTCTAAGAATGGCAGCTAAACTTCTGAAGCTGGATGCCAATACTGGCTGCCAATGATATCACCTATTGAATGAGTGCCTGTGCATAAAACATGCACAGAATTATAGGAACATTCCAAGTACCATAACCACTAAAGTTTACTGTAGAGGTTATAGTGCCAGGAATACCCTGGTACTACACCAATTGTAGGGAGTCAAACTATTTATGAACCATTTAACATCCACTTTGGGTTCTCTGTACGCCACTTCCCACTTCAACTACCATCTTCTGACAGAAGAAAGTCTCTCAGCAGGAACTTTTGTTACCTCATTCCTTGAAAGAGATCATTAGGCACTGTTAGCCTGCATTGCAGGACTTTTCATGGGAGCTAATAGAGATGGTAGTGCAGGCAGGGAGAGGCAGCTGGAAGTAATCAGTAATAAGAACTATTGAAAGCTGATGGAGGGCGAGTTTATAAAATATTTTTTCCCCATGACTACTTCAAAATACTGAAGTGGTCATGGTGCTTGGAGTAACCCTTTAAAATAATGCTCCAATATTAAAAAATAAAAAAAAGTTATCTTTAACATTGGTAGTGTCCATTTCTTTATTTTAGATTTTGCCCCCCCCCCCCTAAATAAAAAAAATACAAAAACATTAAACTCTTTTTTTCCCCCCCAGCTCTGAGACAGTTTCCACTCTCCAGCACACTCCTCAATACTGCTACTCTGTGTCCACTCCTGTGCTTTTTACAGAGAGGCATTGGATGATGTATGGCCCATCCAAAGCCACATTCTCTATGAGAAGCAGTCACTTCCACTTTGAACAGTAGTTCACAGCTGTCTGGTTGACAGTAATTTATAAGAATGGCAATTTCTCATCTTTAATCAGCTGTTTTATAACTTATGTCTTTAGGGGACTTGCATATTGCTTTAAAATTTCAGATGCTTCGGTAGTATATATTTGTGTCTTCTATTAGCCAAGTTGGATCTCTAAGAAGTAATTCGTAAATATGTGAGCAAGAGACATTCCACAATAAGAGACAAAATGTTAGATGTCTTAGCTGTTCTATTATGATAGAAATGATACGTGCATGCCAACCGCTAGTAATAACAAAATGTATTATATTTGCACCAAATGGATTCTAGTTGTATGCTGCTTTTCATTTTAGGTGTGTTAATGTGGGAAGTATTCACGGAGGGGAAGATGCCCTTTGAGACATATTCAAACGTTGAAGTGGTGGATATGGTGACAAGAGGAGAGAGACTGTATCGACCGAAGTTGGCAACAAAAAGAATATTTACGGTTATGATGGCTTGTTGGCATGAGGTATAGTAAACCTGATGAACACATTACCAATAGATTTTCATTTCACGACTACAGCAAACTCATCCAGATATAGCCCATTTGAGCAATCCTGTGCTTGAGTACCTTTCATGGCAAAGCATTTTGGATTGTTACGGTGTCCAAAGTTGGGAACATTTTTAGCTCTCTCCAGTCACAATATATTGTTTGGCACTTTTATTAGAGTTATACATTGTAGCGTCCAGGGTGAAGACAATCATGCTATTAAAATAACCCATCATATATACAGATTACCACAGTACATACATCATTGATTAAGATACTGGCAGTAAAGCCGGGGAGTTATTTACTTTACCACTAACAATAGCATTGCTCATTAAATTATTTGCGGTTTTATTCACATGTTGTTCAGATTGGAAGAATATGTATAAAGTATGTTTTTAGTTGAACGGTAAGAATATTGTTTTTGACATATTGTAGCTTGTTTAGCACAATGGCATTGATTTTCTATGAATTAAATAAAATATTTTTCATGTACCCGTGCTGATTGGACCATGTAGTGAGCACTTTCACTTTGATTGTGCAAACGATTCCTCTGTTTCTTTGAAATTGTGCCACTACCGTCATTGACTCTATATGCAACACCATCAGGATGTTTGCGTTTTGCAGTGTAGTGATGGGTTTTGATGCATATTGGTACTTTTTTATGCAGTGCCCTGGGCGCTGCTATTAAAGTGGCAGTGTATCCTTATGTGGTTACACACTGTAGAATTGTGACACTGATTCATGCACAATGCATATAAAGAGATTATGCCACAAATCCTAAAACATCAAAAGTGCTTTTTTTATATTTAGTAGTTTACCAGATAGAAAAATAAAATACTTTAAACCTGTTTAATAAATGTTAACACTAAAAATCAAAGATAATCTTGATGGTTTCATTTTTATGCAATTCTAGAAACCAGAAGGAAGACCCGGATTTTTTGATCTGATGCTCGCCATCGGTCAGATACTAGAAGAAGACTTTTAGGATGCTTCTGTGACAACCATCCACATTGATGAGGAAGATACATTTTGTGGAGAGTGTTTATGTAATCAGAAGGATTTAAATATTCAAAACATCCGTTTTATTTTGATGGACAGAGTATGCATTTTTTATTTTATTTTAGTTTGTCACACTAAGGAGAAATTGCTGATAGTTGCCCAACGCACATAATGTTGATTAAAAATGGTATGAAGTTTTTTGATAATTTTATCACTGTATTTTTTTTTGTCCATGTGAACCTGTGATCCTACTGATCCTGATCAATTATTTTTAACTGTTGTGATATACTTTGCTGACGTGTACCTAACAAGTTTGAGCTGTACAGTGTACATATTTAAATATATATTTATATTAAATAACAGGTTTTACTCCGTGTTATTTTCTACCGAAAAACTGTGAGAAGGAGGTCTTTGCATTAGGAAATCAGCATTTGGTGTGCTTGGAATAATGAATGTTCCTTACAAAACATACTATTTATTTTTCTTTACAGAGGTCCAGACAGGACACAGTACCAATTAAGTAATGTATTTTTGATCTGTAATCACCAGGGGACCCCACCATTTACATACAGTTAATAGCTGGTATTAAAATCAACAGACTCTACTCTACTAAGCTTTTAGAAGCGCTCCAATTTTTGGACAAACATGAGATGTACTGATTAAAGCAACCAGCTTCAACATGGATTCAGGCTCAAACCTTAGTCCCAGTGTGTGACCATGTGCATCTATTATTTGTCCTGTATTCTTTATACACAGTAATAGTAGATTAGCATTGAGCTGTATATTTGAATGATACATTAACTTTGAACTATGGAACTCCTGTATACATGAATCCATAGATCGTCAGCACTCAATCGTCCCTTCTGATAAAACTTAGCTTTTATTTCAATGTCAACATTTCAGTTTAAAATCATAAACTTTCATCAGGACCATAAATGTACATAGACATATATATCTGGAAAACATTTTTCCAATTTTTTCTTAATTTAACATCTCTACATGTATGGCAGCCATTCCATCCCGGTGTCTGTTTAATTTCAACTACTTCTTGAGGGATTAATTAGGTGATCGCCTGAACCAAATCTTATTTAATGAGGAAAAGGATAAAAACCATTGCAGTGGTCAGCACTATCCTCTTGCATTAAGACCAGCTGGATGGCAAAAACAGTGCTAGGAGCACCCCTTAAAAGTAACTAGCTCAAAGACGCTGGCTACAAAACCGATCTGGGGCTGGAGAGGTGCCCGGCTACATGCCTGAACTACTGCTATTCCCAACACTCCTAGGAAGCGCAACACGAATACTCCTGATCAAGGCATCGTTTAAACTGATGCTTGCAACTGAGGACGGACTTCTGAATTACATGCTTGCCATGTACCTTGCCGATACCTCAGAGATCTTTATAATTTCTGTACCATTTATTTGCATTTCTCCCTTATTTTTTTTTTGTTCTCCTTGCCTTAATAAGGGTTTGTGCCAATGTAGAGAAGTCTGACCCAGTGGTTCCCTGAGTGAATATTCCTCATACCTATATGCCACTCTTGTTTAAGCTAACATCCATCTATTATACATTAGCTTGCATATACACCCTGGATACTCCTCTTTACTAATCACTCTCATACTGTCAGTTAGAGTACTTAGAGCACAGCCTGTTATTTCATTATTGTTTACTGACATATATTTATTGTGTTCTCTCTTCACTATATACCTAAAAAAAAATTGTGGCGATATCTCCATTGCCACACTGTTCAGAATCTAATATATATTTTATCGATCTTTCTTCTGCTGTTGGGGCAAAGCAGGCTTGTTTGTTACCTGTGCACAACACAAATAAAGATCTAAAAAAAAAAAAGTAACTGGACTCAAAATAATAACGAATGACCATACCAAAATAGTTGAACAGAGGTTTTGAGTGAGGAAATGAAGAGTTAAATTCTGGCTTTAATAGCAGAGGGATATAGTGGGCGTCTGATTGCTTCAGTCCTTAAAATTTAATGACAACGGTTCATAACAACAAGGTCAAGTATCAGACAAGGTTACAGACTGGCACATGGTGAAAACGACTCTACACTGACCAGGATAACCACCTGACAACAAGCCTGATAACAAGCATGACCTGATGGCATCATGTGAGTTACAAAAATAATGGCTAATGGCAGCTGGGGGGAAGTGCATGGCAAGAATGGCTGGAAACAAGCTCCTAGGGGCAGTGCTGAAGTAGTGCAAAGCTAAAAAAAAAAACACCTTCATCATTGAGAAGCAATGAATAGTCATGCTGATGTCTGCAAAAGACCATAGGGATTGTACCATAGACGACTGGAGTAAGGTTATGTTCTCTGATGAGTCCAACACCTGGTCATCTGATGGTTAGATAGATACCTGGAGAGGCCTATAGTCCAGTGTCTTGTAACCACTGTGAAATTAGGTGGAGGATCAGTAATGAACTGGGGTGCTTCAGCAAGGCTGAATTGGGCAGATGCATCTTTCTGAAGGACACATGAATCAAGCCACAAACATGGTTATCTTGGAAGAAAACCTGGTTCCTCCTGATCTGACAATGTTCCCCAACTCTGAGGATTGTTTTTTTTTCCCCAATAGGACAATGCTCCACACCACACACCCAGGGGTCAATCAATGTGTGGATGGCGGACTTCAAGATTATTATTATGATATTTATATAGCGCCATCAAATTCCGCAGCGCTTTACAATGGGTGGACGAATATACATGTAGTTGTAACCAGACAAGTTGGACACACAGGAACAGAGGGGTTGAGGGCCCTGCTCAATTAACTTACATGCTAGAGGGAATGGGATAAAATGACACAAAAAGGTAAGGATAGTATTAGACTAGTGACAGTTGCAGAAGAGGAATCAGTCAGGAGCTATTAACAGTTTAATTGACACGCTTTTATGAAGAAGTGGGTTTTTAACGATTTTTTTAAAGAGTGGAGACTGGTTGAGCATCTAACGGAGGAGGGAAGAGAGTTCCACAGGAATGGTGCAGCCCTCGAGAAATCTTGAAGGCGAGCATCAGAGGTGGGAGTAC